TTTACACTAGGAGTGGAGTTGCTAGGTCAAATGGTAATTCTATGTTTAATTGCTTGAGGAGCTTCCATAATGTTTTCCATGTTGGCTGTACCCTTTTACATTCACACCTTCTACATTTAAGTTTATATTAAAAACTCATTTTACAGATTCGCCCAAAACATTCTGCCACCCTAGGTTGTGAATTGAAAGCAAGAATACCTCTTAAAACTTTTAACAGCTTAGAGGGTAAGCATAATTAAAATAACTAAGCTTTAATTTCATTTAAAATACTTAGGCCAGGAATAAAGATGCAGACGTAGAGAATGGACTTGAGGACACGGGGAGGGGGAAGGGTAAGCTGGGACGAAGTGAGAGTGGCATGGACATATATACACTACCAAACGTAAAATAGATAGCTAGTGGGACGCAGCCGCATACCACAGGGAGATCAGCTCGGTGCTTTGTGACCACCTAGAGGGGTGGGATAGGGAGGGTGGGAGGGAGACGCAGGAGGGAGGAGATATGGGGATATATGTATATGTATAGCTGATTCACTCTGTTATGCAGCAGAAACTAACACATCATTGTAAAGCAATTATACTCCAATAAAGATGTTAAATAAAATACTTTATTTTTGATCACAAAGTGCGTGTTACAGAAATTTGGAATATATTTAAACAGAAGAAAATATCACCTCTAATCTCTCCAGTGAAGTACATTTTGGTGTGTGTATATCCTTTTTCTTTATACGTTGTACTTAAAAAAATTGTATTCACGTAGTACATATTGTTTTTCTATATAAATTTATTTTATTTTTGGCTGCGTTGGGTCTTCGTTGCTGCGTGCAGGCTATTTCTAGTTGCGGCAAACGGGGGCTACTCTTCATTGTGGTGCGCGGGCTTCTCATTGCTGTGGCTTCTCGTTGCGGAGCACTGGCTCTAGGTGCACGGGCTTCAGTAGTTGTGGCACGCGGGCTCAGTAGCTGTGACTTGCAGGCTCTAGAGCACAGGCTCAGTAGTTCTGGCGCATGGGCTTAGTTGCTCTGCCGGCATGTGGGATCTTCCCGGACCAGGGCTCGAACCTGTGTCCCCTGCATTGGCAGGCGGATTCTTAACCACCGTGCCACCCAGGAAGCCCCAGTACATATTGTTTTATAACATACTTCAGTCTTACAGAGTACTTTTGGTTTTTGTGGGGTTTTTGGTTTGTTTTTGTTTTTTACTTGGGAATAAGCACATAGTTTAGCTTTTTGTTAGCATCTTCCCTTTTGATGCACAGTAACATGGGAAGGGAAAACATTGGATTATCTTTCTTTAGGCACTTGGTTAATTACTGCTGAATCCTACTAACTTCTTGAGTTGTTAGTGGTAAATTACTTGCTTGGCCAGTGTTACTGCCTTTGTTGTTCTCATGCATTCATAAATCCACATAGCTTCTTCCTTACATATTTAACGTAAAATTGTAGATTTTTATAGAACAGGTTTTTGGGAAACTCAGGCTCAGGAAGGTTATCACGGTTACTTCTGATTAAAAGTATCAGGTTACTTTTGATTAAAAGTAAACCTGGGGGGCTTCCCTGGTGGCGCAGTGGTTGAGAGTCCGCCTGCCGATGCAGGGGACACGGGTTTGTGCCCCGGTCCGGGTCCACATGCCGCGGAGTGGCTGGGCCCGTGAGCCATGGCCTCCGAGCCTGCAGGTCCGGAGCCTGCAACGGGAGAGGCCACAACAGTGAGAGGCCCGCGTACCGCAAAGAAACAAACAAAAAGTATCAGGTTAATTTTGATTAAAAGTAAACCTGGGACTAAAACCCAGTCCTCAGCAATCACCGTCCTTTCTACCAGGCCAGGGCTACTGGTGATGCTTTCTGATTTTATGAGGGGTGTGGACATGGAAGATATATGACTTGGCTTTTACATTGACTCTCAAGTTACAAGTGTTTGGAGAAATATCTCGTAAAATAATGCTTCAAGTAATTTAGCAATGGGCAAACTCAGTTTGTATAATAAGCCATCATTATGCAAGTTAGCTTGATTTGTTTTCAGCAGATTACCAAACTCTTAGGGCAGAGTTGCCTGTAAAGTGATTAATGACTTCAGAATGGTTATAGTGCTGTCAGGAAGTTGTATAACTTTGAATGGTAATATCCTTTGTGTTGTAATGTTAAAGGTGGTGAATCATATTTTTGGCCAATGTAATTATTCCCCCCATCTAAAATGTAATTGTATATTACCATAAAATATTAAATTTTGATACACTTTGATACAGTTCATATTCTAGGAAAATAGGCATCTGGATTTTCTTGGAATTTATCTACCTGCTTACAGATATCCACATGGTTTCCTTTCTTGTGGTTTTCCCCCTCTGTTGTTTTTTTTAAATAAATTTATTCTCGGCTGCATTGGGTCTTCATTGCTGCGTGCGGGCTTTCATTAGTTGCGGAGAGCGGGGGCTACTCTTTGTTGTGTGTGGGCTTCTCATTACAGTGGCTTCTCGTGTTGGGGAGCACGGGCTCTAGGCGCGTGGGCTTCAATAGTTGTGGCTCGTGGGCTCTAGAGAGCAGGCTCAGTAGTTGTGGTGCACGGGCTTCGTTGCTCTGCAGCATGTGGGATCTTCTCAGACCAGGGCTCGAACCCATGTCCCCTGTATTGGTAGGCAGATTCTTAATCACTGTGCCACCAGGGAAGCCCTGGGGGGCATCTTTTCTATTACTTCTAAAAGCATTTAAGACAATCTTCTTACCATACAAAGAACAGTTATAAATCAAGAACAAAGAAAAGAATGGCAGTCCAGTAGGAAAAATAGGGACTTTATGTAAAAGAATGGCACCTGGACTCTTAATCACATGAGACCGAGAGCTGAAGGGTACACATGCTGGCTTCAGGTGGCATGGCTTCAGGTCCCGAATCTGCCACTTACTAGTTTGAGCAAACTCTTAAAGTCTCTTTACCTACATTTCCTTGTCTGTAAAGTGAGGATTAAATGAATTAATAAATGTAAAGTACTTGGAACAGTGCTTGGCACATAATACTCAAGAAGTGTTAGTTGTTATTGTTGCTATGACTGTGATTATTTTTTAAAAATTATCCCAACCTCACTCATCATAAGAGAAATTAAAGTTTAAACAAAACAGAAACACCGTGATAATACACTGTGAGCAAGGATGCAGGTGAAAGGGGCTGCCAACATGGATGGTTCTTTTATGTATTGGTACTACTTTAGTAGAGGACAATTTGAAATAGCTATTAAAGGTAAAGCAGCTATTAGACTTGGACCCTGCAATTCCATTTTTAGGAATTTATCTTAGAAACATATATTAAAAAGATGTGTATATAATGTATGCAAACAGTAGTTTCAGTATTGTTCATGTTAGCAACAGACTGGAAGTGACTTAAATGTCTCCCAGTAGAAACAGGTAAGCTGTTAAATCGATGTAATGGAATGCTCTGTAGAACCATTGAAAAGAAATGAAGTAATTCTTATATGTGCTAATAGGAATGATTTCAAAGATGTACTGTTAAATGGCGGGGGGGAAGCTTCCCCACACTCACACATATAATGCTATGTAAGTCTACACTGTGGAAGGAATTAGAATCAACTGTTTCAGTGGTTTCCTTTGAGGAGCGGGTTGGGGAGGGATGGTAGAGAGACTTAACTTTCCTCTATCCTTTTGTACCATTTGAAACAAAAAATTTTTTAACATGTTTATGTATTAGTTTTTACCCTCCCCGAAGTCCTTTATCTCTTCCCACCAACACACACACAGACACACGCACACGCACACACGCACGCACATACATACACATTCATGCACACTTTTCAGAACATTCAAATGTTAGTCTAGGAGTCTGGCTATGCAGTGACAGGGACCAGCCTGTCCTGATGGTGTTTAGTGCTTATTGAATATGCACTGTGATCCTTGGGGTATTGCAAGCATCTATCTGGTCCTTGTCATCCAAGCTGGTGCTGATGGATAAAACCTCCCTCGGTGGTGGAAACTGAGGCCCTGGCTAAGTAAGCCCAAGCCCCAGGTATCTCTTCTATAGGTACTGTTGGAGGTTCTGAGGCCAGAAAGACCTTGGCTCGCTTGGCTATTTTTAGAGGCCTGAAAAGAGGGTGGGCGGGAAGGAACTTCATGAGTTATCATGAGTTATGTAGCTCATTAGGAAACCCTGGTTGTGTTTATTAACTGCTTGGTTCTATTTCAGTTTCCAGAGGTGAGAGCCAGAATGGAAACTCACTTGGCATGATAGGTTTTGTGCTTTGTGCAGCCCCCTGGACTTTCTAGAAATACTTTTTAACTCTCGAAGAATTGGAGCTATGACCAGGATTCTTTGTGTAAAACTTCTTAAACAGATCAAATTTAGAGTTTTGTGGAAATTTATACATATCTCTACTTTTTATAGGGTGATCTTTAAGCTAATTGCTACTTGCATGAAATCTGTAGTCATCAGCTCTGACACCAAGGTGAGGGTGAATTCTCTTACCCTTGTTCATACAACTTTTCTCCATGTGAAATGAAATGTCCATGTATATATGTGGTCATATAAATTAGGAATAGAACATAATACTTTCTTTTATGTTTTCATCCAGTAAATCTTAGGCTACTGCTTCTTAATGTTTTTGCCACTCCAGGCTATCTGAGGGATGTCCCATTTCTATCATTAAACAGTGGCTCAGTGTGGCAGTGATTTTCTACAAGGGATGAGGGTCTTTCAGGGCATCCTGTGGGTGGTAGTGGGAGAGTGGGGAGGTAGAAATAATGATTCTGAATTTTATAACACACACACACTCCTAGTTGAGAATTAACTACCTTAGACAAATGAGTATTGTAACCTTTAACTTTATCTCAATACCCTGGAGGGGAAAATACCTGACAAGACCTTGGTTTCATCTAGTTGGCATGTCTTCTCTCCATTGTCTGCTGTCGGGTTGCACATAAACATGTATGTGACAGATGAGCACTGACTTGTTAGTGGGCAAGACAGACAGTTGGTTCTAGCAGGTTGTTCCTCCCGTTACAGGAAAAGGCACAGGTTTGAAGGTAGAGGAAGGATTGGACACGTTGCTGGGGCAAGTGAGCGATCCATTTAACCAAAAGTAGGTGGTTTATTCTGAAATTAGCTTTTGTTTCCTTGTGTTAACATTGTCTTTTTTTGTTTTAGTTTAGTGGTTATTTAATTTTTTATTTTGGAATTTGTTTTGTTTGTTACAGCAGAGATGTCGGCTTATTTTTAGGAATTACTTGAAACCAGAGTCATGGTGGATGTAGGAAAGTGGCCAATCTTCACTCTGCTCTCACCTCAAGAAATTGCATCTATTCGGAAAGCTTGTGTCTTCGGCACCTCAGCCAACGAAGCACTGTATGTTACTGACAATGACGAGGTAAGCATCTCTCAAAACCCAGGGCGTAATGTTAGGGCTTATTTGGGGGTTGAGCTTTAAAGTGTGCAATGTGAAGACTGAGAAAAAGTGGGGCATAAAGAGAGCCTAAAATCCAAAAAGATGCTTGTCTTTGATAGAATTTGTTTTTTCTTTCCGTTTCTTGATTTAATACCCCTCATCCCTACTACTCTTTGAGTTTCATAGTATAGCCAAATATTCTAAAACTTCAGTCAGCAGAGGTTGAATGTTTCTTTTTTTAATAGATTTTATTTATTTATTTGTTTGTTTATTTATTTATTTATTGGCTGCATTGAGTCTTCCATTGCTGTGTGTGGGCTTTGTCTACTTGCCGCGAGCGGGGGCTACTCTTCGTTGCAGTGCGAGGGCTTCTTATCGCGGTGGCTTCTCTTGTTGCCGAGCACAGGCTCTAGGCACGCAGGCTTCAGTAGTTGTGGCACATGGGCTTCAGTAGTTGTGGCTCATGGGCTCTAGAGCGCAGGCTCAGTAGTTGTGGCTCACATGCTTAGTTGCTCCGTAGCATGTGGGATCTTCCCGGACCAGAGATCGAACCCGTGTCCCTTGCATTGGCAGGCAGATTCTTAACCACTGCGCCACCAGTGAAGCCCTGAATGTTTCTTAACAACCATGTCAGTCTCTTCCTAGCTACTGAGCTGTCAAACTGAGTTTTAGTGTGTCTTATATTCAGAGTGGAGAAGGGACCTTTTGTGTAAATGTAGGCCAAGTGACTCAGACAGAACTATTTGTTTCCCAGGTCTTTGTATTTGGACTGAACTACAGTAACTGTCTAGGAACTGGAGATAACCAGAGTACACTTGTACCCAAAAAGCTGGAAGCCTTATGTGGAAAGAAGATTAAGAGCCTTAGTTATGGGAGTGGACCACATGTTCTTCTCAGCACCGAAGGTAAAGTGGGAATAAGTCCAGCTTCTGTTGGTGGGAAATCGAGCAGTTAATTCTAAGCTAAGGGGCGGCGGGTTTGTATCAGATATTGGATTTTGAATGATTTGTGTCTTAATTTCTGAGCGGAAGTACACAAAACAGGTAAAAGTTAAAACACTTCAGACTCCCTCTGGAACAGCCATAGGATGACTTGCAATTTAAGCAAACTTTTGAGGCTTTCGACAACTTATGTAAAGAAGATGAACTGTAGCAGATGAAGTGGTCCTCAGCCTAATTTTTCAGTGAATTGTTGTAGCAAGGCAACGTCCAGGTTTTACTCGGTACTTTTTTTTTTTTGGCTGCGTTGGATCTTTGTTGCTGTGTGCGGGCTTTCTCTAGTTGCTGCGAGAGGGGGCTACTCTTCGTTGCGGTGCATGGGCTTGTCATTGCAGTGGCTTCTCTTGTTGGGGAGCACGGGCTCTAGGCACGTGCGCGGGCTTTAGTAGCTGTGGCTCACAGGGTCTAGAGCGCAGGCTCAGTAGTTGTGGCGCACGGGCTTAGTTGCTCCGCGGCATGTGGGATCCTCCCGGACCAGGGCTCGAACCCGTGTCCCCTGCATTGGCAGGTGGATTCTTAACCACTGCGCCACCAGGGAAGTCCACTTGGTACATTTTTAAAAACACAGTTAGTACTGGTTTTCCTTGTGTGAATCTTGAATTCAAGAAATCTCAGTTCTTTCCTTGGCGTTCGTGTGGGTGCCATCTGGAAAGAATGTGGGGTAGATTCTTCTTTTCCTCTCTGCCTCCCCAAGATCACCAGAGGGGCCTCTGCATTCTTCCTTGGTGATTTATCTGTACTGTGAGCACCCAGAGCTCTCTGAAAATCTGTCATATATAACCCAGCTTCTTCCCTTTATGTTTTAGGCACATTAGTTCTTGCTCTCTAGCTTTTTGTTGGGTAAACTGTAGGGCGCACGTGGGAGCGTTTGCTTCTCTGCCTTTCTGTCTCTAGCCTGGGGAATCACAGCTTCCTCAGATGTTACCGTGGGTCTTGGTATTGAGCTTTTTAACAGCCTTTAACTTACATCTGAATCCACTCCCAAGTTCTCCACATTTTTCTCAGGCTGTGAGATCCAGATGTGAGCATGATTGTCTGGTAAGAGTGTAACTGGTGTGGAGTATAATGAGGTGATTATCTTGCCTCTGCATTGTGTAATCATGCCTTCCAGCATCACACGGGCTCTTTCAGGCAGTTGCTTCTTTGCAGACTGGTTCAGCATGTCATCCATTGTGACCTGATGATTTAATGTTTTCCTAACACATGTTAATTTTAATGAGGCATTGATTTCTGACCATAAAATACTGAAGCAGTTTTTTCTGGAGCAAACATACAGAAACGTGTGCATTCGGATTCTTGGTTTTCTTCAAAGTAGTGACCTTGGGCAACTATAACTTTTCTTCTGGAATTATTTTCAGAGTCCAGATCCTACAGTTTTAACTATCTTGAATGTTACAATTAAGATACAAATAAACATAAAACACAAATATAAATAACTGGTTTTCTTTTTTTTTTTTTTTTTTTGCGGTACGTGGGCCTCTCACTGCTGTGGCCTCTCCCATTACGGAGCACAGGCTCCGGACGCGCAGGCCCAGCGGCCATGGCTCATGGACCCAGCCACTCCGCAGCATGTGGTATCTTCCCAGACCGGGGCACGAACCCGTGTCCCCTGCATCGGCAGGCAGACTCTCAACCACTGCGCCACCAGGGAAGCCCAAATAACTGGTTTTCTTGGGGGAATAGTCTTCTTTTTGTTTTTAATTCAGTTTTGATTGTTATAATACATTTAATACAACATACATATGATACATGATGTATAGGATGTTTAATGTATGTATGATACATATATTTGTGTGTATTTTATAAGTACTACAAATAGTCACATAGTTTAAAAACAGTTTAACACTTTAAACCATCAAATAGTATATGGGTTTTAGTAGAAAACAGGACTCTGTCTCACTCCTCCTTACTCTTAGAAACTGCTATTCAGGTGGAATTACTTTTTAACTCCTTCAGGTGTTTTTTTCTGGTATTTACTCTCATATTTTTAAATTAACATGCTTATACTGCTCTTTCTGAATTTTTTTACTTTAGATATTATCCTTTGACTTTTTGTAACAGCAGATAGAATTTAGCTCTCTTTCTCCTACCTTCCCTCACCTTATTGCGTCTCTATAGGGATATCACCATTTTGGTTAAATCAGTATTCAGTGTTCACATTACTAGGAGTCGATAAGTATTATTTATAGCTGAGCCATCTCCTTTCTTATACAACTGTTTGTTTTCCTGGGCTTACTTGTTTGTCATAAATGTATGCTGGAACTCTTCTATAGCGCAGTATTTTTTTTTTTTTAGCATCTTTATTGGAGTATAATTACTTTACAATGGTGTGTTAGTTTCTGCTGTATAGCAAAGTGAATCAGCTATACATATACATACATCCCCATATCCCCTCCCCCTTGCCTCTCCCTCCCACCCTCCCTGTCCCACCCCTCTAGGTGGTCACAAAGCACCGAGCTGATCTCCCTGTGCTATGTGGCTGCTTCCCACTAGCTAGCTATTTTACATTTGGTAGTGTATGTATGTGTTCATGCCACTCTCGCACTTTGTCCCGGCTTACCCTTCCCCCTCCCCGTGTCCTCGAGTCCATTCTCTAGAAGGTCTGCGTCTTTATTCCCGTCCTGCCCCTAGGTTCTTCGTAACATTTTTTTTTTTTTTAATTCCACGTATATGTGTTAGCATACGGTATTTGTTTTTCTCTTCTGACTTACTTCACTCTGTATGACAGACTCTAGGTCCATCCACCTCACTACAGAAATATGGAACGCTTCACAAATTTGCGTGTCATCCTTGCGCAGGGGACATACTAATCTCTGTATCGTTTCAATTTTAGTATATGTGCTGCCGAAGCGAGCGCCAGTATTTTTTTTTTAATTTTTAATTTTATTTATTTTATTTTTGGCTGTGTTGAGTCTTCGTTGCTGCGTGCGGGTTTCTCTAGTTGCATCGAGTGGGGGCTACTCTTCGTTGCAGTGCCTGGGCTTCTCATCATCGTAGCTTCTCTTGTTGCAGAACACAGGCTCTAGGCGCACGGGCGTCAGTAGTTGTGACGCGCGGGCTCTAGAGCTCAGGCTCAGTAGTTGTGGCGCAAGGGCTTAGTTGCTCCGCGGCATGTGGGATCTTCCCAGACCAGGGCTCGAACCCGTGTCCCCTGGGTTAGCAGGCGGATTCTTAACCACTGCGCCACCAGGGAAGTCCCTATAGCACAGTATTGCTTCTGGGCACCTCTGAGCATATCAGTACATCTCCGGAGTGCTCTGTACCCCTACTCTAGCCTGGTCACTCTAGGCTGTTGCACAGCCGTCGGCCTAAAACTTCATTTCACCGTCATCCTCGGACGTCCCTACTTTGTTCTTTCTGGATCCTTTGTCCTTTCTGGATCCCCTATTTTTTGTGTCCTGTGTCTTCCTCCTTGGATTATACCCTCATTTGGGTGAAACACATCCCTAGTAGCTTCTCAAGGAAGCAGGTGTGAGAGAAATCTTTGAGACACTGTCTTAAAATGCCTTTATTTTACCCATGCCATTGATCAGTGATTTGTCTGAGCAAAAAGAAAAAAAAAGGTACAGTATTTTCTGTTCCAGTCCTTTAATACTATTTTGAGTATTTGCCTCTACTACCTGGTATGCAAGGCTCAGTCCAGAGTAAAGGATCTCTTCCCGTTAGGACCCCATTTATAGCCCCTGAGGCTACTGGCATTGCTCCAGTGTAATCCCCTTGCTAGCTCTGTGGGGGGGGGGCCTTCCCCCCGGGGAGTTTTCCCCATAGCCATCTGCAGTCCCTGGCTCTCTTGTTGACAGAATGGTTCTTGTTGGCATTTTGTGCCTCTCAAAGTACAAGAGAAATTCAACCCACCTCTGCATTGCTGCAGCCCCACCGTGCCCATTCATTCCATGGACCCAGGTGGCCACGTCAAGGGAGTACACCAAATGGTCCACTTGGTGGTTCCAGTCAGCTTCTTGTGATGGGCATCAACATGTCCTACTTTAATGTGCTTCTTAAATTCCCAGAGTGATTCCATAGGGCCATGCTCCATGTGGGCATCCCTTTAACAGTTTAGTTTCCATTGCTCATCTACCTGACCATACAGCCAGGCTATTGACTATAGCCCATGAGTTGGTAAAGACCCAAACATACGGGTTTTTACCATTGCTTAATTCTTCCATCACTGCTCGGAAAACAGCCTGCAGTTCAGCCCACTGCACTGATTTATTCTTGACTCCTTCAGTCAATCTTGCCATCCACTGGTCTTAATGTGGGCGCTCTCCAAATGGGATATTGTCCATTCACCTTGGAACTGTGTCTGTAAAGCAAGTGACTCTTTGTTGTTCCGTTAGAGCTTCACAGGGCATGTCCACAAAGCAGTGGGTTCCAGCAGCTCCTCAGGCAGCTCCAAAGTCGGTCCTAGATGAAAAGAGGCTCCCTGCTCACGCCTGCCTGCATTCCCCCAGCAGCACGCTCCCCTGTAAACCATTTCTGTTTTATTACGAAACTCTTCGGGGCACTGCCTTTCTTATTAGAGGACTTCTCCGACACCATCCAAGATGTTATGGGCATCTCAGGTCTCATGATTATTTTATGTCCTTCAGTCATTGAGGCAGTCTCAGTTAATGCCCAGGCTACTAATTTTCTCTCAAATGGTGTGTACCAGACAGCGGCATCTGGGAATTTTCTGGTCTAAAATCCCAGTGGTCACTGCTGGGAAGTGCTCCCGGGTTTGCCATAAGCTCCTGCTGCAGAGTGCAGGTGGCAGATACCCTCAGAATCATATCTGATGGGGCCGTAAAGCCCCATAAGCATTGGGAGAGCTGCCGCCCTCTGCTAATTCAGACACAGGCTGCTCTTGCGTAGGCCCCCACTCAGATACAGCTGTCTTTCGGGTAATCTTATAGATGGGAGCTAGCATTGTTTCCAGATGTGGAATATGTATTCTCCAAATGCCAGATAAACCACCCAAATGCTGGCTTGCTGCTGCTTCTTTGGTCCTAGGGGTGGGTAGTGACAGCAGTTTAGTTTAGCGTCTTCGTGGCTTCGGCAGGTTATTCCTAAGAATTTTACCGTTTGGGTAGGCCCTGGGACCTTTGTGGGATTTATTAACCAGCCCCAGTGGGTCATGTGTGTCACCGTGGCATTCACATCACTCCTTGCCTGCTCTTCAGTTTCCGACATTGTCATAATGTCATCAATATAGTGTATGATTGCACTTGAGACCTGTGTCAAGTCCAGATCCCTTCTGACCAAATTGTGACAGTAAGCCTGAGTTCAGATAACCCCGTGACGACACAGTAAGAGTAAACTGGGATCCTCCCCACATGAAGGCAAACTGCTACTGGCTTTTTTCTGAGGTTGAGAAGGAAGCATGTGCAAGGTCAGCCCCTGGTTTCCGGCTTCTGCTGGCCTGCTGCATCTTCTTTGAGGCTGAAGCCACGACCGGAACTGCTGAGGCTGTAGGCGGCACAACTTTATTTACGCCTCCATAGCCTACTGTTAGCCCCTAGGAGCCACCTGCCTTTTCCCCAGGCCTCACAGGGCTACCGTACGGTGAGTGCATTGGTACCAGTGTTCCAGCTTTAATTAAAATGGTGAGCTCTCTTTCTGTCCACAAGGTGTTCTATATGAAAGTTCAGCACCTGTGCGGGCTCAGGCAGTTCTAGTGGTTCCCATCTAGCGCCCAGTAAAACCGGCCTGAGGGCAGATTTACACGCCTTCTGTTTTACAATGTTAGGTTGGGGAAGCAGTCCCCAGTCCGATGTAATATCCATCCCAAGACTCCGTTCAGGTAAGGGGGATGTGTCCACATCACACAGAATCTGTTCCAAAACCCCAGTTTTCATTCAGATTTTCACTTGAGTCCTATCAACTGTTACCCATCTGTATCCCCCATTCTAACCTTAGCTGTTAAGACTTTACCAACAGGTTTTGGAATCACACGTCGGGGTCCTGTATCAGAAAAGTTTCCTCCTCCCCGTGGCTGTTTCACCCACACATGTGCTTATGCCCTTGGGTGCCTTGCTGGGGATCGGGCCAGAAGATCCTGGCCTTTAGGTCAATCTTTATCTTGATTAATCTTCCTTACCATTGCCCCAGGGCATTCTTTCTTACCTTAATCTTTACCTTCTGGCTTTTTAACGCCTTCCAAGCTGGGATAAATAGAGCGGACTTGTTTGGGGCCCTTTAATTTTAGAGACCAACATGGGGTCCCATTGGTTCACCAGTCTCTGGTTGTGCTGCAGCCACACCTTGGTTTCAACTGCGTGAGCATCTGATTTATTCATCCCACTTTGTAACAACCGTTTGAAGACTTTCACTCTGCTGGAGTGAGTCCCTTGATTCTCCCCTTTGTCTTTCCCTC